TTCACAAAAGAGGCCTACAAAAAGTACATCAAAGATTACATGAAATCGTAAGTGAGATGCTAAGCACCCTGTTTTGGTGGTTGGGGGTCCTAGAAGATTTGTGTCTACTTAATTCCTTAGTTAAAATGGGATTTGACAAAGGATCTTTTGTTATTCAATAATGGTTGCTTTTCAGTAATACATAATGTGAGCATACTGGAACAATCAGTCTGGCTTTAACTTTGAAGAATAGAGACAGTTCTTTTAAGAGTTAGTATGCTTGGGCATTAAGTTTGGGGCTTGTATTTTACTTACTGGACAAAAACTGATTTTGGTGAAAATTCAATATTTTAATGACCTGATAAAATTTACTGTTTTAGACTCAAAGGCAAACTTGAAGAACAGAAACCAGAAAGAGTAAAGCCTTTTATGACTGGGGCTGCAGAGCAAATTAAGCACATCCTTGCTAATTTCAATAACTACCAGGTAAATAAATCAAAGGATTGTACAGTCTTAACCACAGGGACTGAGGGGGTTGGTTTGTTTTTGTTACCTATTGTCCTGGCTGTCCCAGCACTCGCAGCTTTGAACCCCCTGAGATCCACACACCTCAGCTTCAAATGTAGTTCACCTCTCCATTTGAGTCTAAAGGCACCAGATGAGCTGATAATTTAAATTGAGCTTTTACTTTTTTTTTTCATTGAGACCAGACTGGCCTTGAACCCAGAGGTCCACCTGTGTCTCCTGAGTGCTGGGATTAAAAGTGTGTGCCAAGGCACTTGGCTAGCATCAGAGGCTTTACTTGCCAAAATGTTGGCCTGGAGCTGTTCTGAGTCTCCCTTTTATGGTTTGCATTGATTGTGTTTATGAGTATGTATATATATAATGTCTAATCCCCGGTATTTGTTACTTAAGTTTTTTATTGGTGAGAACATGAATCCAGATGGCATGGTTGCTCTCCTGGACTACCGTGAAGATGGTGTGACTCCATACATGATTTTCTTCAAGGATGGCTTAGAGATGGAGAAATGTGTAAGTATTTATTGAAGCAGTCAGGTCTGATTTCTGCCATCTGCAGAGTTGTGAGAACTCTGGGTTCCTTTACTCCTGTGGAACCTGAGGAGAATAGTGCCTTAAGCATAAAAGGATCTGGAGGTAGACAAGCTTCCTTGGTAGGAGCTCAGAGAAAGTGGTGGGGGAGGAGTCTCTGAAACTCGGGTCAGGTAGACTTGGACAGTCTGGGTTACGTGGTCTGATGCAGAATATGAGGGTGAACAGGCGATGGGGTACCTCTGCCCCACCGTGGGTTTAAGTCCATTTCTTGTTGTGCCACGGGATTTCTTTTCTCCTGAGTTAACTTTAGTAAAAATTAAACACAGAAGTGTCTTTTATAAGGAACTGGTGGGGGCTTTTTAGTAAGCCGGGTAGAAAGTGAGCTTAAACTATACAGAAGTGGGCGAGCACTCGGGCAGTCTGGAATGACTGGGTATTCAGTGGCTGCTGTTTGCTCTGAATGGGATCTGCAGAAAGATTGGCATGTGCTGCTGGCTTGGAGAGGGCAGCCTGCATCCACTGATAGACCTGGAACAGTTTGTGGTTCTTCTGGTTTGCACTAGGATGCCAAAGAAAATGCTCTCCGCGCTTCCTGTCTGTCTGTGTGGCAGTCCAGGTTGATTTGGAGAGTACATGTGTATGACAGGGGAGTTGTGAATCAAGCTGGGGGTAGGGCAGCTCCTAATGCAGTCTCCTTGTTTTGCAGTAACAAATTGGATCTATCACCTGTCACCATAACCGGCTGCTGCTTCCCATTCATACAACACCAGGACTTAGGACAAATGGGACTGATGTCACCTTGAGCTCTTATTTTGACCATGATTTATCTGGAGTGGAGACATTGTTTTTTTCTTTTTTCCTTTTTTTCTTTAAAGAAAAAACATGTCATGTAGGTTGTCTAAAAATAAAGTGCATTTAAATTCACTTACAAATGCCTCATAATTTAATTTGATTGTGCTGACTCCGTCTTGAGTGGTGAAGCTGGAGCCTGGTGGTCGATGCTAGAAAGCTAACATGACTGCTGCAGTGGGAACGACTTACAAGAGTGAGTTGGGCAGTGAAGGGGAAGAAATGGACCCCTAACTTCCATCCCATCCCGTGGAGGAGCTTGCCAACAAAATGCTATCTGCTTTTTTGAGAAGCAGAGCCAAGTCTCCTGGGGTGAACGTCAAGTGCCTACCTGGTAGCTGGAGAAGAGGTTGGCCATCCCATCTTACAGTTGTACAGATGTGGTGGCACAAGCCTTGGGTGTGTTTTGGTTTTTTGGTTGTGCTATTTTGAGACGAGTAGCCCTGGCTGTACTGAACGCTGTAGACTCTGGTCTCGAACTCAGATCTGCCTCCTGAGTGCTGGGACTAACTAAAGACAAGTTGCTACCACACGTGACAGGATCATTTTTAAATGGAGGAAAGTGGCTTTGGATACCTGTTGGGATAGGATGTGAGGTGTGTTGATCCAGTTGGTTTGACTTGTCAAATGAGCTAAATTGGGTTGATGTGTTTGCAATCTTAAGATTTGGTGATCAAAATTCAAAAGTGTACTGAACTTAAGGGGTTCTAGCTCCCTTTTGTGATGGGAAGCCTAAAGACTCAATATTTTGAAAAGGGGGAAAGTGTAGTTGTGACCTAGGAACCCACTTAATTGTCTTTGAAAATGTTAATAGGTATTTAGGCCACTGTTAACTGCTGTCAACACCAGTCAGTATACATTGTGGAAAGACCTTGAGAAAGCCTGAAACCGAGCTGTGCTAACTTTAGAGAAGGGAACACATCACAGCCCAGAGGCTTTGCAAAGCATACTTTGAAAAAGTCACTGCAGCTGGATTTTGACACCAGAATTGGAAACCAAAGATCTTTTTGAGTTGTCTGTGACAGTTTTTGGTTTTTGTTTTGTTTTTTTGTCCTGTTTTATTTCTCAGATCAACCTACCTCTGCCTTCCCAAGTGCTGGGATCAAAGGTTTATTCTACCACCACCTGGCAAGATTTGTTTTGGAGAGAGCTCTTTACATCTCTGGCTGACTTCAAATAGCTAAGGATAACCTTGCCGGTGTTTATGTGCCTCAAGTTGATTTGGTCCTGGAAATGGATGATTTGGTACTGGAACTTGAATCTACAGCTTACGTGGTTAGCACACCACCAATGCTGGTTTCATCTTCAACCCCTGGGGCTTGTTTTAGGGTTTGGATGTTGAACTCCTAAAACCTCTTAGTGCTAGGGCTTGAGGCTTGCACTACCATATCGTACCAGGCAGCTTTTTCAGTCATTTTTCCTAATTGTCGCTGCAGTGTCTGTCCTGTACGTGTGTAGTCCTGGCAGTTGTCTTTAGGCTGCCCTTGTTTATTTTCTGGTTACCGCTAGAGCCACTGCGAGAACGGCAAGTACCTGCGCTTGCTGCACAGGTCAGTACCACTTGCTCTTTCTGATGTTGTGTCTGGTGCAGACCTGTTCGAGTACCTGTGGGCCCTGGCCTATGTTGCATGTGTGGAGACAATGGGATGGAGAAAGGACTTACAATGTCTGTGAAATCCTTTGCAGCGTGCCTTTGAATAGAGATGTGAAGGAGTGGCCGTGTGGATGTCTGAGAGCAGACCAGTGAAGCACCTTCACCTAAGATGTGTGGGTTGTTTACCAGAGAAGACTGCTTAGACATGGGTTTGAGCCAATAGAAGTCTTTGTTAGCCAGCTGGTGACTATGCTGGGGGTTCAGGATATCAGTGTAGCCTCCGAGCCTTTTTAGGATAAGCTTTTAACCGCAAAAACAATGTTCTGGGTTGACATACTTCGTTTAATAACAAGAACAGTTAACTAGAAACAGAACAATAGAAACCAAAAGGCAAGGTTAGAGACTTTTCTCAGAACTAAGGACCTTACTGGATTAGGTCTTTGTTTTAGTTTTGGCAGGTGGTGCTGTCTGCGTGCTGTGTGGTACTTGCCTCATGGAGTCAGTTGTGCTAAGGTCTGAGGGTCTGCTAGGTCTGGTGCCCTGTTAGGGCACTGGTCTTCGTGAATGAGTCGAATCATGGATTCAGCCTGTTTCAAAGAGGTGCACTTTGTCCTAAGGACCATGAGTGTGTGTGTGTGTGTGTGTGTGTGATGTATTGGGTGATTTACAGGCTGCAGCCCAGCTAATCCAGCAGTGGCTGACTGTGAACAGAAAGTCCAAGAATCTAGTAGTTCCTCAGACCACAAGACTGGGTGTCTCAGCTGCTCTTCTGCATATGCCGGAATCGCAAAGAAGCAGGCTCCAATGCCAGGGCAGGAGTGGGCTTGCTGGCACGGTGAGGGCAAGCAGGCAAAGAGAGAACACTTCCTTCTCCCACGTCCTTATGTAGGCTTCCTGCAGAAGGTGTGCCTGGATTAAGTTGTGTTTTCCCTCTTCAGAGGTCTCGACTAGAAGCGGATTCACCCACTTCAAAGGAAGCAAAAATAATCTCACAGGTGTGCTCTCCATGTCTGGATTGTAGTTCATTCCAGATGTAGTCAAGTTGACAACCCAGAACAGCCATCACACACAGCAACAGAATCTCTAAATAAGATGCTGACTAAGCGCTGGCGGGAACATGCAGGGCTTTCAGTCCCTGGCCCACTTTCCCTAACTGCTAGATGCTAGTCCAATTTTCAGTGTCCTGTCTCCTCCGGGTGGTCCTTGAGTTGGCGCATTCTCTTCAGGCCCGCTTACTCACATGCAGGGCAGCACTAAGGAAAGATTTTTTTTTTATTTTTTTTAACTTGCAGTACTTGGATGCTTATCCAAGTAGAAAATACATGGAAAGCGTCCTTAAATATTTGGAACCACATTCTGATGGGTCACGGTCCTCTTTCTGTGGATGACGTCCACTGATGCACCTTTCCTTTCCACCATTTTAGAGATGGCATTTTTATCCGTGGGATTGGGCTTCTGTCTGTAGAAACCGGTTGCCTAGTGTTTTGAAGCTGTTGTGAGCCCAGAGTGTCACCCTGAAGAGAAATGTGCTATCTCTAACTCCAGAGTTGAGGAGATAGAAATTGGGGTGTCCTGGGGTGTATTGCTTCTGATTCCTCAGCTCCACTGTCCTAGCTCTTAGCAACCTTGTGCATGCACCATATATAGGTGACACCTTCCCAATAGCTTTGCAGGTTTTTTTTTTTTTTTTTGTTTTTTTTTTTTTTTTTTTTTTTTTTGCCTAGACAGGGTTTCTCTGTGTAGCCCTGGCTGTCCTGGAACTTTCTCTATAGATCAGGTTGGCTTCAAATTCAGAGATCCTTGACCAGGTGGTGGTGGTGCACGCCTTTAATCCCAGCACTTGGGAGGCAGAGGCAGGTGGATCTCTGTGAGTAGTTCCAGGACAGGCTCCAAAGCTACAGAGAAACCTTGTCTCAAAAAAAAAAAAAAGAAAAAGAAAAACAGATCCTCCTACCTCTGCCTAGTGCTGGGATTAAAGGCGCACACCACCACCACCTGGCAGGGATTCTTGAAGTTTAGGCAAGTGAACTAGATTTATGTTGTTGGAGCTAATTCTGAACTTAAGAGTTAGACAACACGGCAGACTAAACTGGTAATGAGGAGAGTAACCACAAATCTCAAACCACAAACTGGTAAAAGGAGTGTAACCACAAATCTCAAAACTTGAAGACCCGTCACACATCATCCTATGTGAGCACAGGCAACGAGGGGCCCTGGCTGGTGGGCAGAACTCTCTCTGTGAAGCATAACTCACCAAGGAGGATCTGAACCAACAGGGACACCACATGGCAGTGATTGGTCACATTTATGCCACCCTGCATCTTCCTGGTGGCCACAAACGTTATAGCACAGAGGAACGTCAGCATCGTAATTTATGTAATCCTATATCCAGAAGAAATTAAGGTGTTTCAGGCGGTGGTGGTACACACCTTTGATCCCAGCACTCGGGAGGCAGGGGGGGCGGATCTCTGATTTCAAGGCTAGCCTGGTCTACCAAGCAAGTTCCAGGTCAGCCAGGGATACATGGAGAAACGTTTGTCTTAAAAAAATCAAAAGGAGAAAAGGAGGAGGAAGAAGAAGAAAAAAGAAAAGGGTGTGACCATGTTTTTGGGAACCTTTAATTTATATGCTAAATAATTTAATTTATAATATATGCGCCGGGCAGTGGTGGCGCACGCCTTTAATCCCAGCACTCGGGAGACAGAGGCAGGCGGATCTCTGTGAGTTCGAGGCCAGCCTGGTCTATAAGACCTAGTTCCAGGACAGGCTCCAAAGCCACAGAGAAACCCTGTCTCAAAAAACAACAACAAAAATTATATATGCAATTGTATAAATTCATATATAAATACATATAATCTATATTACTTCAAGCAAAATTTCCTAAGTAGTTTCTTCTCAAGAAGAAACGGTGCTGCATACCTTCCATTGACCGAGTTAGCTGCCCGTTTCTATCAGGTCAGGTCCTAAGTCGGCAGTTTATTCACAGGATCCCACTCACTAGTCACATCACAGCAGCAGCAATGAACATCAACCCCTGCGCCTGTCAGCAGTCCAAAACAGAGCTTCACCTGGGGGGGCAAGGGTGTGTTTTGAACTTCTAGAATATTCCATCTCGTTTGTCTATATATCTAGAGAGCCTGTAGAGTGAATTTCTGCTGTTGTGCATGATTTCAACTAATGGAGAGTGACATTTAAGAATCTCATAGACTCCATGAGAACCTCTGGAGAGGATGTGGTTTTAGTGGGAGGGTCAATATGCTTCAGTAAAAAACAATGTCATCTATGCACCTAGAGGAAAATGTTTTCCAAGGTAGCTTGCTCAACGATGCTTCCTCAATTACTTTCCCCAGCCTGGGAGACTTCTCTGCTCAGTTACCAGTGCTTTGTGCTTCTCTGGGTACACAGCGAGCGCGGATGGCTCCTCTGCAGATCTTTAGCCCGTGAGTCATAAGTGTCAGGCCGGATGAAAACTGAGGTATTC